CCGAGGCGGGGGTGGGGCGTGTGCGCTCTGCTAGACCGAGCGAGGCTGACGTGCCCGCCTGAGCGCGCGCCCGGGAGTGTGTGTGCGAGTGTGTGTGTGTGTGTGTGTGTGTGTGTGTGCGGAGTGTGTGCGCACACGCCTTCGGGGGCCGGAGTGACACTGCAGTGGGCTTGTCCCCAGCCCCGGCCTTCAGCTGTTCAGCCCACAATCTGCTGGCACCGCTTTGGGGAAGCAGCTTGCCGCTTTCATCTTTCCAACCTTCTTCATCCGTTCATCCGCCCCTCGCCGACGTTACTTTTCCTTTTACCCACCGGGCTGCGGCCGGCCCCCCACAACCGGTGCAAACACTCAAGCTGCCTCCAGCTCTCTCGTAAGCCACTATTTCCCCACCTGACTCTCTCTGGGGTTCCTTCACGAGCCAGCCCAGGGCTCCTCCATCCTTGGAAACTGTTTTGTTTGACTGCTGTACCGAGGCGTAAAGCTTGAGGACTTCATTATTATTTTGAGTTTTTTCATTTCCTCCCCCTCTGGGCAACGGAGCAATGAAATTTCCAATCGAGACGCCAAGAAAACAGGTGAACTGGGATCCTAAAGGTTGGTATCTCCTACTTTTGGCCGCCCTCGCCCAGCCTCCATCCCCGGCGTGTGCGCGCCTCCAGGAGTGAGAGCACTCTTGCTCCTGGTGGCGTGTGTCCTGAGGCCGGGAAATGCGCCCGGGAACCGCAGCAGCGCGGGTGGGAGGAGGGCGGAGGCAGCGTGGGTTCCGAACCCAGATAGTGCCTGTCATTATCACATAACTGTTGTCCCTCCTGGATTGTTTCAAAATCTATTTAAAGATACACCAACCCCGCTGTTTGGCTTGAAATTGCACCAAGTGTCGGTATTTGCTTTTGACTTCGTGTATGTGAGCGTGTGTGTGTGTGTGTGTGTGTGTGTGTGTGTGTATGTGGGTGTCCTTTGTTTCTGGTGATCTTTGTCTCTGGCAGATGGGTGGGGTGCCTCCCCTGGACCTGAAGTCAACCGGCATGCCCTGGGTGTCCTCGGTGGGAAAGGTTTCCTGGCAGCAAGTAGAGCTCCTATCTGCAAGCAACCATCCCTGGGGGTGACTTTTCTCATAGGGCTTGCAGAATAATGGAGCCCACAGGGCCTGCCAGCCTTCCACCCTTCCTTCAATCTTATGACCAAACCAGGCAGTTAGTTTGGCTTAGGTTGGAGTGGAAGGTGGGGGATTGGAGGGGATGGAGTGTTTTACCAGAAGGGTGGGGCTGGCCATAGCTCAGGAGTGACCACAGATGCCTGTCCTAGCAATGGTGTGGTTTACATGCTTTTATAACATTGGCCCATGTTCCCTCCGTGCAAAAAGGATTGATTAAGACAGATCTGCATGTGTATATTGTCAGCCACCGTGTCTGTAATTACCTTACAGATGTTAAGGCTCTGAGTGATCAGTAGGTCTGCAGAACAAGTTGAAACCCTGTGGCCAGGTGTGACAAGAATGCTCTTTAGCATTTCTCTAATCTTCCTGAAGGCTGAATCTGGCTAGGTGACACCTCAGTGTGTATTTGGGCTGAAATTTATTTGTGTATGTGTTTAATGTTATGAGTACATTTCTTCTTTTTCTCCGGATTGGAAAGAGGAAACCAAAGCCCACTCATTTGCTCAGTGAATGTCTTGTGCATTGACTGGCTATTGAAGAGTGGGTGAAGAGGTATTGTCTTTTTTTAAGCTCTGAGGCTGTTACACCTCAAATATAACCCAAACCTCTACTCTAAAGGACTGGAACTATGGGATTCACTGGCTTTTTTTTTTTTAGGAGGAAGATCCCTGCAAAACAAATTATTCAAATACTTGCTACATACCAAACACAGTCCTAGGTACTGGAGATATAGGTAGAACAGGACAGACAAAAGCTCTGTCTTCTTGGAGGTTGCAGTGAGGGAGAGAGACCTAAATCAATCATTGCATGGAAGAGTGCATAGCTGCAAGCTTGTATATATTTCTAGGAGAAAAGCATCAGAATTTTCAGAAGTGTCTGATAAAAGATTGTCAAGGAGCAAGGTTGGTGTTTGGAGAAGGCTTTTTCAAGGAGGTGACACTTATATTGAGACTTGGAGGATGTGTAGGAGTTAATTGGCTACCGAAGAGGAGAGCTGTTGTAGGAGAGTGAACAACATGTGCAAAGGTCCTGGGGTAGAAGGATTATATGTATTTGAGGAACTGAAAAGAGGTTACCATGGCTGGAGCAGAGATCAAGGGAACTCGTGTTTTGATATGAGACTGAGGGAACCATAGGCTCAGACTCCAAAGCCCTGATGTTGTTGGAAGTGGCATAGGGTTGTGGAGTCGGGGCAGGAGTGCAGTCTTTAAGCCACTGAAAAGTTTCAAGCTGAGTGACATCATCTAAACTAAGTTTCTGAACAAGTGCTCTGTGGCTCTTGGGGATGCGTGGAAGCAGATACAGTGGTGCATGGACCAGGGTGGTGGCCATTGGGATGGAGCAGGGATGGAGAAGGGAGCTATCAAGCGCACAGAATCCACAGGCTTTGGTGCGTAAGTGTGAAGGTGGAGGAGGTGCTCCAATAGGGCCACACCAGGGCAGCACCAGTTTGAGGGAAAGCTCCTGAGTTCTAAGACTTGGTGAGTGGGAGATGCCCCTGAGGCATCCAAGGGGTGTGTCAGTGAGAGGTTCTCTAAAGGGCGGAGTTGGGATCTTCAGGGACCCCAGGTAGAGAGGGACACTGAGGGATGGATTTTGTGAAGCTGGCCTTGGCATTAAAAATGCCTATCTCTTCATATTCACTATCTTCATGCCACGGTGATACACACAGATGAATGTCATACCGTCTGCAACCCGACACAGTAAAGATGCATGCGAGTCGCATCTGCACTTCCCACCAATGGTGCCACCGATGAAAGACCTCAATGACAAGAACAACATTTAATGAGTAATCATCGTAAGCTAAGGGTTTTATGAACATAATTTTATGTTGTACAGTTGTTCTCACAATACTGCTCTGATGGTCTAAGTGTTATTGTTCCCTCTGACACTTGATGGCTATCACAATACCTCTGAGCTTCCTTCCAGTGAGGTGCTCTAACGTCCTAAACAATTGTTCTTGATGGTGGAGGTGACTCCATGTCTTAGCCATGGGGAATAAAGCTGCAATAAATATCAATGGAATGTATAAAAGATATTGAAATAAAAAAATATATATAGAAAGTGGAGGTGACAGTAGTCTTTTCTAGCCAGGGAAAAGAGGGGAGGCAGGGGAGTAGGGAATGGGAGTGACATATCTTATATCTGAATAGAATTTTGTGCCAGGCACTGGTCTAATGCTTCCCATCTATTAATTTATTTAATCTTCACAAAACTCTTAGAAGGAAGTTATTATCCTAATTTTACAGATGAGAGGATCAAGGAACAGAAGGTTAAATAAACTTACCCTAGGTTGCACAGCTAAAGGTGGCACTCTTCCAGTCTTGTGTCGGGACTTCTGTTTTTTGCCTGGTGATTCTCCCCAAACCCAGAGACTGAGTAGCTTTTTGAGCAGAGGAAGAGGTGAGACTGGATGAGTAGAAAGTGGGGCTGGGAAAGGGGGAGGACAAAGAGAAGGAAATGTGGAAGGAGTGAGAAGAATGAGGCAGTAGGCACTGAAACTACCATTCCCATTCCTTTCTCCACTAACACACCCGGCCAATGGCGTCTTCGCTTCTGTGTCTGGTGGTCAGGTCTCTAGCCACTGGACAGACTTTGGGTCTGTTCTTCGGAGGTTCAGGTTTACAAAGACCATGTAAGTCTTTGCAGGGCAAAGGTGAGGGGGCAAAGCTAAAGGGGAACCTAGGATAAAAACCGAAAAGCGAGGGGCAGCTTGCATTACAGGGAGTGTAGGTTTCAGCTCTTACACTTTTTTTTTCCCTTTTTTTTTGAGAGTTTTTTTATTTTTATTTTTTTATTTTATTTTATTTTATTTTGCTATAGGGTGCATGCACTTGCCAGAAAGACAGAGAGACAGAGAGACAGAAAATGAGAAATCACCCCCCAAGGGGGATGGCCACGCTGCAATCCCTTCTCCATTCTCCTCTCGGGATTTTGGGCACGCACGCACACGTGCCCGGCATGAGTTTAAGCCACTGGGTCTGGGACGCAAATCGTGGTCGACTATGTGGGAGTCCAGCGACATAGCCATTATGCTAACTCCTGGTCCCAGTTTCAGCTGCTACACTTGAACCTTCAGGTAGATGTTCTTCTGACTTGTGAAAGGATGATGTAATGATGGTGTTGTATTTACAGTACCATTGCCTGACAATTTAATAACACAAAATAAGGGTGGTTTGAGACCAGACTGATTTTGATAGCACTTGGGTGAATGAAGTCAAGTGCTGTCGAGAGGTGTAGGTGACCAAAATATAAAATGGTTAGTCTCTGGTGAGCTTTAGTCACAGAACTGGGGCATCAGCAAAGAGAATTGCTGTTCGGATAGGACCTGCACAAACGTGGATTGGCACGAAGTCTTCACTTCCCGAGCAGAATGTGTGCATTTTAAATCGCCAGCCTCGTTTGTTGACTTTCTGCTTAGACTTGGGATTTGCTTGCTGCTTATGTATGTTAAGAGCTTTTAAAAATCCATAAAATCAGTTACCCGTTTTCCCTGGACTCGAGGCTAGCAGATCAGTATGGCATAAAAAACTCTGGATTTGGGGGCACAAGAATCAGGTTCTAGAGCCAGCTGCAGCAATAACTGCTGTGTGACTTTGGGCTGCTCTCTTGGCCTCTCTGGGGTTCATGCTCCTCCCATGTGGGAAGGGGCCATTGGCATTGTCTTTGCCTCTTTGACTTTATCTCCTCAACTTCCTGCCTTGATCTCACCTTTGGGCTGCCTGGCTTCCTTTCGTTTCTTAAGTAGATCACCCCACTGGTCCCTGTCACAGGACTCTTGCACATGCTTATAATACACACTCACATGGCCGGCTTCCTTCCACCCTCTAAATCTCAGCTTAGTTGGCCCCGAGTTAGCAAGGGCTTCTCTGTTCCGTCTGAAGACCTCTGCTCCTGTTCCCCAGTCCTGCCACTTTCTATTATGTCAACTACTCCATTGTCTTCCTGACACTTTTCTGAAACCATCCGGCTTACTCCTGTGTCACATTTGACACCAGCCTCTTTCACCCACATTAGAGATTCCTGAGCAGAGACTTTCCCTGCCTGTTCATTGTCACACCCCTGGTGCCCCAGGAAGTGCCTGGCACATGGTAGACACTTGCTAATTCTTTGCTGATTTGGTGAGTGACCGGTGGGATGGATCAGAGTGAATCAAAAGCTTTCTGCACTATAGGAATTCCTCTAAGCTATGAATGGCAGAGAACAAACGGGAAGAAAGGAAGAATATCCCCAGAAGGGACACTGATATCTTCACTTCTTTGCCAGCTCCCAATTCTCTAAGGCTATTTCCTTCTTTTCTCCCCTTTCACTGGGAGTGAAAGATGACGTGGAGAGGGGTGGGTGGGTGTGGGGGTTGGTTGAACTTGACAAAGATGTGGTCAGTGTCCAATTAATATGTTGGCTCATATTAGCTATTGGAGTGTGGCTATTTTTAGGT